CTTGACAGGGGGCGGGCAGCCCCCATCTGCCTCCATGGTGGAGGTGGACTCTCACCAACTGCTTCTTAAACAGACTTTGAACCCAATTCCAGTTCCCTCTCTGCCTCCTCCAGTCTAGGGTGACCTTAACATCTAGTGTCCTTGAGTGCCAGAAACTTGTGCCGGGCCTGGCTGAGCTCACCTCTGCTGTGTCCTTAGGGTCTCTGTTCTCAGGCCCCRAGTGTCATTTGCCACTGGTGTGGCCATCTTTCTACTTCTCAGGTTGTGTTGTTATTGGGCTTCTTTTCTACTATCCTTGTTCCTGCTGGTTATGATGTTTTAAAAGCATTTTCTAATCTGTCACTGGAATGGGATTTGGGAGGGAGATGGATTTGTGTTTCCAACTGTTCTCTCCACACATGAGCTTCCAGTCTGTTCTTTATCATGAAAACTGATAAACAATCCCATGGCAGGGTGGAGGGGAGGAGGGATGAATTCTTCCTAAGAAAAAACATCCCATAAATAATATTAATTTGTGTTTTCTCAAAGAAGTTATTAGAAATACAAGGAAAGTAAAACAAGATGCTACCGTGACTAGCAGTTTAACTTCCATGTTTCCTTGTGGTTTCCAAAGTGGATTTTGGAGAGATTGAAGCAAGACACTCAGAAGACCTGAACTGCAAAAGACTGAATGAAGCCACGAGGGTGAGACAGCCGGCGTCCTCAGCCTGCAAGCTGATGACTCACTATAACCTGGACCGTGAGGTCCAAAGAATGGCTGCAAGGATAGACTCGCTGATGGACAGCCACATCTTCCAGATCTTCTGGGAAGAAGCTGCAGAGTCATTAAGCCATCCCCAAGGAGAATCTGAAAGACAAACCCTTGCGCTTTTAGAGGCTTATGAGTACTTGTACTCGCCTTGTTACCAGAGGTTCATGAAACTGTATCAGGATCTGAAGTCAGGAGAGATCACCTTTGGAGAAATTAATGTCTTCTTCAAGGACTTTGTGAATAAATACAATGACCTGACTTTAGACCTCCAGATCATGTGTGAAGTAGACCCCCAGGCCCAGAGGGGCTGGATCTCAGAGCGTGTTGAACAGATCAAGGAGTACCATAGCCTGCACCAGGCCATCAGCTCGGCCAAGGTCATCTTGCAGTTCAAAAAGGATTTTGGATTGACCGGTGACTTCAGTGTTCTTTACACTTTAATAAACTTTGTAAGTTATTTGCTGGGGACTCCTGGGAGGTGGGGGCCTACCTCAGACTCCTTGGAAGCCCCAGGGCTTCTGGGAAGGTCAGTGAGGCAGTCCCCTCCAAGGACTCTCATCTGGGCTGCACTCAGTCTGGAACATTCCAAGCCTTGGGTTTTTACCTTTGCTTGAGACAGGGTGACTGTTCCTTAGCTAGTGAGTTTTCTCGGGTCTATATGAGAACCAAAAATTCAGGGTAGAAAAAACCTACCCCTTTCCAGAGGAATCTCATCTCTTTAGGTTATGAAAGCACAGATGAAATATTTTGTCATCTGTCCAGGTACCTCTCCTAGTTGCAGTGGGAATGTCAAATGGTACATTGCTCCTGTTGTAGCTCAGGCCTGAATCTCTTCCTGTTTCTTAGCCTCACATTTCTAAGGTGTGTGGATTTTCAGTAGAGGCAGGTATGTTAATGCTTAAAATTTAACACAGAGTGTGGAATTGTCTCTACCTAGACTTGAACCCTTCGGTAAGCCTATGAGTAACTCCCCCAGAGAAGCTAACAACGTGGACCTGGCTGGGCTGCTGTGAGGAGCAGGTTTCCAAGTCTATGAAAGCTTCCTCACAGGACCTGGGTACTGGGGACAGTAGCAACTGCAGCTTAGCAAGGAGGGCTGTGGAGGTCATGCTATCCTTGGTGCAAGAATGTGTCAGGCTCTGCTATAGCAGCTGCTGGTCCAGGCATACTGGAGGGCAGGTGTGGGTGGCTGCTGGAACAGCCCCCAGTAGAGCTTCATCTTGCAGATTGATGATTTCAAGGCCACCCACCATGAGAGACTGTACCAGATTAGCCCACAGCTCATCCAGGCCAAGAAGCTGTTGCAGGACATCAGCGAGCCCCGCCGCCAGTGTCTGGAGGAGCTGGCCCTGCAGAAGGAGCTGGTCAGCTGGCTGCACGACGAGCTGAGAGGTAGGGTGGGAGCTTTGCTGCTTCCACCTTGTACTCCTGAGTCTGCTTTGACTTACATTCTTTGATTAGTAATTAACCCTAGGGGAATTATCTCAGGTTTTAAAATAATTGATTGCCCAATATTATTATTATTTTTTTTTGGTTGCTCAAAACATTACAATGATCTTGACATATCATACATTTGATTCAAATTATTTACCAATGGAACGTGTTTTTGTTCAGGTGATAATGTTTGTAGATTAAAGGAACTAAGGTACACACAAGCCTGGGACATTGTTTGGTAAAGATTAGATGCTGGTCAGTGGTGTCATCATATGCTGCAAAAGAAAAGGTGTCCTGGTGTCCTAACGGAAGGCAGGAAGTGCCACACACGCTAGGTGTTTACCTAGTGTCTATCGATGGCCTCACGAAGGATCTTGCCCCAGGTGAGAGTTGTGCAGCATCATGGAGTGGTCCTGTGCTGACTCCCTCTCTGCCCCAGGCATCACCGAGCTCAAGGTATTTGTGGACCTGGCCTCCATCTCAGCTGGAGAAAGCGACATTGACGTGGACCGGGTGGCCTGCTTCCATGATGCTGTGCAGGGCTATGCGTCCCTGCTGTATAAGCTGGACAAGAAAGCAGGCTTCAGCAAGTTCATGGAAATTTTAAGAGAACTCTGGAAGGCTCTGCAAAATGACCCCCATCTGCCCAGCAAGCTGGTGAGTCTTGTTCCTGGTTCCCAGGTGTGGAGGTCCTGCAGCCCTGGGGAGCAGCTGTGCTTTGAGGGCAGATGGGCATGGAGGCGTGTAGGCAGCCATTTAAACTGATGTTTAAAACCAGCTTTTCTTCACTATGGAAATGCTTTCTTTGTCTTGGGTTGGAAGAGAACTACAGAGCTGCATGCAAGAGCAGTCTCCACCCTACAGGACAAGTGTGGAAAGAGCACAGTAAGAAGCTTGTGAAAGGGTGTGCAGCAGTTTTCTCTGAATTTAGTRACTGTCCTTTTATTTAGTTACTTTTTTGGTATTTTTCACAATTGATGTTGATTAATTTTTTATCAGAAAAAAAACATTTAAGTAATCTACCTGTACCAGCGTCTGAGTAAACTTACACTCATACCTCACCCAATGAGAAGAGGTGTCCAGAGGCCTGCACCAGCCTTGGGACAGTCCTGTATGTGGTTGGAGGGTGGGGAGATGGACAGAGAGAGCAGTTTGCAGTTTTTCTGTTAGAAGCTCATTTTCTGTTGCGATTTTTCCTGTTCTTCTGGTCATGCTCAGGGACCATGACAGGACATTAAGAACTTAGGGTTCCTGTTCAGTCAACCATCTCTCCTCAGAGGGCCTTTGTTCTGGGAACCCAGGAGGATGGTGGCCTGCCACCAGAGAGCACGGCCTGTGGCTATCTTACCAATCAACCATAAGTGCAGGCCAAGTGCATTCTAAGCGTCAGCTAGAAACCTGGCACCAGTGCAGCCACAATGAGTGGCCAGGGTCCTGAGGAACAGGCAGGGTCCTGAGGGCACAGCCAGGGGTACCTGAGGCAGCCTCAGGCAAGAAGTTATGCCTGGAGCCCTGGAGGAGGGTGGCTGGAGTTTGCCCAGCAAGGGCAGAGGCAGGAGGAGGACATGCAGGGAGACAGTCATTTGAACCCTGGCCCATGTTCTCTGCTTTCGTTCCAACAGCGAGACTCTGCCAGGAACTTGGAGTGGCTGAAGACAGTGAAGAAAAGCCATGGGTCCATCGAGCTCTCGTCCCTGTCCCTGGCCACAGCCATCAACAGCAGAGGCATCTATGAGATCAGGGCACCCACAGGTGACCAGAAGGTGAGCCCTCCCAGATTCCAGGTGCACTGTTGGTGGCATGCACTGGCCTGCTGCAGAGTCAGCATTTTAGCCACCAGAAAACGGCTTCTAAGCATGTTGTGCCTCCCAGATCTCCCCAGATGCCATCCTGCGCCTGATCCTCCCTGGGGGTCACAGTGGCCTGGAGCCAGAGCGCTCCTACACTTTGGAAGAGCTGARGGATCTTTTAAACAAGCTGATGCTGATGTCTGGCAAGAAAGACCACAAGAGTATGGAAGTGGAGAGGTTTTCTGAGGTGAGCAGGTGCCCTGTTGCCTCAGGCTGGGCATGCTCACTGCCCTGCTTCCTGCAAAGGGGAAGGGGCAGGGGTTGGCCTCTGGTGGACAGAGTGGCTCCAGAGAGTGGAGCTGGTGGGTCTGCAGGGTGCACCTGGCCCGGAGCCCCATCTGAGGTGGGACAGGCCCTGGAGGCCCTGGAGGCACCCTGAAGGTCTGTCACCACTGGTGGTTAATCAGCTGCATTTAGCAGGAGGTGACCAAGTAGATAGTTCTGAGAAGAAGTATGAATGGCTTCATTCACTCTGTAAATTGGCCAAGTCAAACACCTCAAGATTCTAATGGGCACTCTTCATCCAAACTAAAGTAACTGAGCCAGGTGCGGTGGCACATGCCTGTAACACCAGTGACTCAGGACGGAGTCAGGAAGAGTGTAAGTTAGAGGCCAGCCTCAGCAACTTAGTGAGATCCTATCTCAAAATCAAAAAGGGCTGGGGACATAACTCAATGGTATAACACCCTGGGTTCAATCCCCGGTAGCAACCCCCCCAAAAAAAATAAAACAAAAAAACCCTAAAATAATTGTCGACATAGGTTGTTGGTTTTTGTAATAGTCTCTCTCTTTCTCTCTCTCCCTCTCTCCCCCTTCTCCCTCTCTCTCTCTCTCTCTCTCTCTCTCTCTCT